GAAACAGAAATTCTAAAAATTAGGAAACTTCGAAATACTAGTATTGGGAAAATTAAAAAAAGTTGCTGTCAGTCAAGACAACAAATATAGGAAAGTCAGTGAACCTGAGATCAGATCAACTGAAATTATCCAATGGTGAGGAAGAAAAGGGAGGCAGGCAGAGCAGGGAGGCAGCTGGGGGTGTTACGTGGCTCAGTGTGGAATCCTTGGGTTCAATCCTCAGAACCACACACGCAACAAAACACCCCAGAACTTTAGGGACTTAATGGGAAATATGAAAGGATCTAATATATCACTGAATGCTAAGAGAGAATAATATATGAGAATAAAAAATACAATGGCTAAAAATGCCCTCAAATTTGGTTGGGAAAAGGGGCTGGGGGTTTAGCTCAGCGGCGTAAGCGCCTGCCTTGCAAGCAGGCAGTCGTGAGTTCGATCCCCGGTACCGATAAAAAGGAAAAAAAGACAAAAAAAAAAAAAAAAAATTTGGTTGAGAAATCTACAGAATCAAGAGCCCAGCACACCCAAAACAGGACACATTACATTAAAAGAAAACCAGGTGCATGTACATTATAACCAAACTGCTGAAAATGTGAATAAAAACCACTGCATGCAAGGGGGACACGTATTTTAACAACCATGTATTTCTCATCAAACACCCTGGAAGCAAGGAGAAAGTGGAACATTTTTTAAAGATTAGAAAAGAAACAGACAAGCCAGAATTCCAATGAATGAACATATCCATCCAGGGTAACAGTTCAATAAAGACATTCCTTCTTAAATGTAGAATCTGTCACCAGAAAACCTATTCTACAAAAATGCAAAAGTGATTTTCATCAGGTTGAATGGGCATAAGACCAGAGGAAAACCTGGAAGTGGACAGAGGAGGAGCCACACTGGTGAGAACCACAGTCGTGCCTATCTGGGGGAACGACAGAATGTGCCTGCTGGCCTTCAGGATAGAAAGCTGTGTGTAAGCAGGATCTTTCTTTATGTTGTGGCAAACGTTAGCCCAAAACCTGAAAACTCTAATTATTACATGGTATTTAATTTTTTTATGGTATTTAATTTTTATGAATGTCTAAAGTTCAGACCATGAGAGTATTTCACATTTTAATACTACAGTATTAAAATACTATTTATCATCTAGGATGTACAAGTAGAAAATACAAGTAGAACTGATTTAAAACTCTAGTATCAATTTTTAAAATATTTATTCATAAACCAAGACTCATTTCCATTGATTTTGATTATGTGCCTAGAAATACTAGCTTGTTTATTTATTTGTGGTGCTGGGGATTGAACCCAGGACCTTGCACATGCTAGGCAAGTGCTTTACCACTGAGCCACATCCCCAGCCCTAAGATGATTAATAACAAAAAACATCAGGTAACAAGTGACTGCTTTGCAAAGCTATGAAGGGTTATATATTTTGCCATAGAACAGCCTTAAGGCATGAAGACAGATCAAAAATAGTTTTTTAAAAATCTAAAAAAGTGCATAGATCAGGAAGAAATTTCAACTTTGTATTTTCAACTCTGTATCAAACAGATGCCTTCAATATCACCATTATTTGAAACTCAAGTATGTGTTCACTTTCAAATCAGATATGTTAAATGGCACCAATGGAAATTCTATTACACATTTATAGACTTGCAGTTCATTAAAACAAACACAAAATGTCCCAAGAGTTGTCCATGGCCACAAGATAAAATCTGAGCCTATGTGACCTCTGTGCTCTTCTGCCCTCTGTGGACCCGTCCAGCCTCCTTTTCTACCATATGTGGTCTTTTTTATTTTTCTAAATTTGGTAACTGTTTTTAATCACAAGATTACACATCAAATATCAACCTACTTCGAGCATTTTTCCTTGTGACACTTTTGGTGCCTCAGTGTCTCTCCTGTTCCCAGTGTCCCCTTTCCTCTCATCCTGAGGTATCTTCACGCTAACCTCAGGTTTCACCTTCTCCACATAGCCTCTTAGCTCACTCCTGCTCTTCCACACTCCCCTAGCACAGCACACGTGTCTAGCAAATGACCCACAAGTCTACACTGAGGTCATTCACCTCTCTCCCGAGAGCAGGCTTAGGGTACTCCTCAGGCTGACACTGCCAAGGCCAAGCACTAGCTGAAGCAGAAGGCAAGTTCTCAGTGTTCATGAACCATCTTACACTTAAAAACTGACCTGAATCCTCACTTTTCTTTATAAAACAGGAGTAACCTGCAGCCCCACAGGATTGACCTGAAGGATGAAGGAACTAAAAGAAAGCGCATGGCTGTTGAGGGCTCCTTGACTAAAACATCCTGTTCTCATCTTCTGCCCTCCCTGAACAGCCAAATAAAACTGGAGAGTAAGAGTATTTTCCTGGCACAGTGGCCCACATGTTTCAGGGTGAGAAGAGAAAACCGAGTTCCTTTTCTTCCTAGGGATCTCGGGGAGGAAAACAGAGCTATCTCGCCTTGCCAGCAACAAGGAACTGGCTTCTAAGCATGAACATGCTGGACAGCAGATGCACCAATACCGCATCTTCATATGACATCACCCTAAACAGCTCCCTAGCAAGACAGGACTATGCAGTCACACTGTCTTGCATCTTAAAGTTTAAATACCTCATCACTTGACATTATTAGTTCATCTCCCCACCAGTGTTGGGATTCATTGTTACTTTGATTTTACAAAGAAAAGTGAGGATCTAGAAAATCCAAGCTACTTGCTTATTTCTAGTCAAATTTTAACACCCCCCATTTTTATCTCATGCAGTATATGTGATATCACCCTTCAGTTAAACGGTAAAATCCAACAAAGGAGATCTGTTCTTTGTAATTCAGCAAACATTTACTTGTTTATTTAGGCAATACCAGGGATTGAACCCAAGGCCTTTTCACTGAGCTACATTTCCAGCCCTTTTGTTTTTGATTTTGATACTAAGTTACATTAGGTTGCGGAACAGCCCAGGCCTGTGATGAACTTACCATCCTCCTCTCTCAGCCTCCGGGAGACAGTGTCTGCACATGGACCACCACATCTAGCAACATTTACTAAACGTGCTAGGTATTAGGCCCTGGCTTGCACATCTGTGTCCATTTAAGAGCTTTCCTTTCACTGGTATCCCTTGTGCTCTACCCTGAGGGGGCTTATATCTTCTGAACCCTGCTGCTTCACATAGTGACACTGTGACTGACTTGACACTGTGACTCAAATCACAGTCACTCTTACCCTGATAGTTTCGATTTAACATTAATTTTACTTTGTTTTACGCTCAAACTCAGACACTGGCTAGTTATCTCCAGGCAATCTCATTTTAGCTCAGTTTCAAGGGCTTCATGAGTAGAGGGATCAATTTTTAAGGATTTGGGCTTAAAGAGATTTAAAGTTAATTCTGACTTTACCATTTGTAAGCTGTGTGACTGTAGTGTTTAAGTTTTCTAATTCTGATTACTTTAGTGTAAAATGTGACAATATAGGTATCAGTGGAATTTTGTACAAATAAAGAATAACAGAGCATTATGTAAAATAAAGCAAAACCTCGAGACTAGCAAATGTTATTACTTATTTCCTATGAGGATGAACTCCTCCTACATTGTTTTATATTCTCAGGCTAAAAATACTTCTTGCCACATAATTCTCAGCATGACAGGGTGATAATAAAGTGATGATAAACCCATTAAAACATAAAATTAAGCGGGGGGGGGTAAATAATGTATAATCTGCTATACTGCTACCTTAGTGCAGGTACATCTACAGGCAGAAAACAAGACAAGAATCTCCAAGTAAACCATTCAGAGCAAAAGGTCACAGCAACCTGGCACATGCAGTGGTGTCTCTGTAGCTTCTCCTTTGTGGTAAGTATACAGAACAAGAGCAAAATGGTCCACCGCCAATCACAGGACCCATGAAGTGGGAGCGCTCAGCAGTGCTGGGAGGGATGCAGCAGGTGCTGTGCAGCGAAGCAAGCATTGAGGAGCTAGTTACAGTGAAGGCTGTGTTAGCTGTGGCTTGAGCCCATGAGGCTGCAGTGGTGGAAGGGAGGGAAAGAGGCTGACGGGGGTGACTGTCAAATCCCTCTTGTCCTGCTCCACCCTCCTCCAGGCTTCATACACTGTGATTTCCAACAGATCAGCAAGAGGGTTTGGGACATACTGTAGAATAAATGAAAGCGTTACATAAAGTTTCTACTGGAATCAGTTCCCCTGAAAACCCTTACAGTGAATGCCATGTTCAATAAGAAACAAGCTTTCCGCATCTTCTGCAGCACACGAGCCTGCGATGTTTGGAGAACCATGAGCTCAGGGCACAGCCATCCCTCTGGGACTGTGGAGAAAGTGGAGTGGCAGGAACTTTCTCCCTTGGAATACAGCCTGGTTTAGATTGCTCTGGTATGTGGGAAGACCACGGCAGCGTGGTCATTTTAAAAATGTGTGACATTTAAAATTTCTGTAGGAGTACCAAATGCCAACCACTAAATTCTGATCCTGTGCTTTCCAGCTCTTTGCTGAGGTACTGCAAAGACAGATGGGGAATCCATGAAGGATAATGTGACTTGCTCTCAGAAGAGTTTGACAAGTGGTCTCTTTTTCCCTAAAACAATTTTTTAGTTTCCCATTTGACCATAAATAACTAAATGAAAATGACATGGCCTGTTGGCACTGGCTGATCTGCTGCTGAGTACAGGGCTGGGATCCCTATGTTGAACTAGGAAGCTAGGGGTCTGCGCCTAGTCCAGGCTATGAAATTTTTAAGGAACTACTTAAAACCTATTAGCTTTACTTCTGTCGCCTGTGAAAATGAAAATTTCAGTAGCTTACCGTTCTGCCTACTGTGGGGAAGCCATGAGAAAGCTAGTTAAAGGACGTGAAAATTCAGAGTCTAATGATGGCTGTGGCAAGGTCTGGTGATGTGACAGGTGCCGTCCCAGGACCTCGAGCCTGAAGGGCAGTACCCTGGCTAGTTACCAGGACTCTGAGAAAGCACAACGAGGACACTCCCACTCATTCTTTACCTTTTTCTCATTGACGTCTACCTGCTCCTCTTCCTCATTCACCTCTTCTGGCATTTCTTTGATTTTTTTCAGGAGCTCGGCCTTGGCAGCAGACACACTGTAGTAGGCAGGGCAGTTGACCAACATGCCTGCCACTTCCTTGTCTTCGCTCCTGAAGCGTAAGAAACATACAATTTTTGCATGATGTCTGCTCACTAATGCATTGCTTTCTTAGAAATTAGATGACTTAGTAAATATTTATAGACAAGAATAGGGCTCAGAAGCCAGGCAAACCTGGGTGGAAAAGCATAAGGCAGTGGTGGGGATGGGAGTGGGGATCAGGACTCTGGCAAGTCGCTACACTTCTCACAGGGTAAGTGATAAACTGAAGAATGACCCTGACTCCCTTCTGAAAACACAACATGGAGCCACGACACTGCACAAATTTCAGGGTTTGGGTTGTTTCAGTCTTCCCTGGTTGTCAACAGTGTTTTCTATGTCTGTTGTTGTTGGGACACTTAGAAATTTCTACCTGGAGTCTAACTACTCATATATCTACCTATGTGTTTCTTCAACTGTGGTTATCAGAGTATTCAAGATTACCAACTGGTCTCCTTAGCAGCCGAAACTTCAGCATGGTTAGTTACTGAGTTTCATCCCAACCTGTCAGCACTAACTTTCACCAGAAGATGGCGCACGCCACCCAGCTAAAATCCTCAGGGCTGCCTGAAAATGCTACAGGACCATTTCACTTCTTCAGCAACTGAAGCAACTGCTTGATGGTGATGCTTTTCTAAGGATGCACTTCTAAATCTCTTTGGTCTTTTTACAGTGAGTTGTCAGGAAAAAAAAGGTTCTGTGACCATGCATAGCAGATGAGAGGCCCACCTAACAAATTTATTCCATAGCCCAGTGGTCTCCAGTGAATGAGTTTGCACATTACTTACTTGGACATGTTTGCTAAATATGTGACCCTGGATAAGTCGCCTCACCCCAAGTAGTCTGTTTCCCAAATCTGGAAACTATAGCAGTGGAAAAGTAGATTTTAAGATCTGGAATGAGGAGAGCCTCCAGTAACCTAGAAGATGGCTTCCAAGTACTGTATATCTTTCATCAACAAAACATGGTGCTCTTGCTAGTAATTTAGTTAGGATCACTGACAGCTTTCTAAATTGAAAGCCCAAATTTGGATGAAATGCTGTTTTTATTTAGCCTGGAAGCCGTTAATTGCTAAGTCTCTTTTCAATCTACAGTTTTCATAGAAAATTAAAAAGAAAATATAAACCATTCTAAATCTTTCTCATAGTAGTTCTAAAAAAACTGAAACAAGCAAAAAAAAACCACAAAAAACCAACACTAACCTGAGAGAAACTGAAAGAATGGGTGACGTGGACTAACCATGGTGCTTTCACAGTGTGGTTGGCAAAGCATGGTTCATGGAGCTCGGGAGCAGGAGCTGGGGGAAACCAGCAGGATGCACCCCATTCACATCTCTCTTAATTTTCAGATTTGAGCAAACACCAACTTTAATGCTGTACATGTACATTTTTAGTGTAATAAACCTGTTTCTCTAGACTCCCATTCTTCTTACAAAGAACATGGTTGACCTTGGTTGTGGAATGTCCTTGGTCAAAACTCCCACTTCTGTTTGCTCCTCCTCTGCAGTGAGCCAGGCTGGGAGAGGCTCTCTGCAAGGGCAATACCAAGAGAGAACAGGCAACTGCGCACATGCAGGGTTAGGGCCGTGTGTCATTGCCAGGATAGCAGGCAGTCACTGGCCAGAACATGCACATTTTCCAGGGCTTGGCCTAGGCATGGTCTTAATTCCTCTGTGCTTCACTACCCCCATTTGTAAAAACTGACACACTGACAGGTGTTTTAGAAGGTTCTTATGATGATTAAATGAGAATGTTTATATAAAGAAATTCACAAAATGCTTGATGCAGACAATAAGTTTTAATGACAATTATTACTATTGCTACTTCTGTTGCCAGGCATTTGTCAGCCTGAAGGGAATGTTACTTTTGGGTCAGAGATGTGTGGAGGTAGGGAACTAACACCCATGGAAGGAATCCCATCCTAAGTCCTTGGGGGTACCACCAGGGCCTTACCTCTTGCTTTCACCTGCAGGGTAGCTGAGAGTCCTCTGCATGGCCTTCCTCCTGGTGCTGTCTTCCTTCTGCAAGTTAGTTTCTCGGGGAAACAAACCTTCCATGAGGTCCATAGTCGTCTTCATTCTGGAGTCTGGATCTAAAATGTCTGCCAGAGATTTGTCTTGGTGCACAATTTCCTTGGCCAGAGCCTCTGTTCTGATATCTTCTGAGGTCTTCTGGGGATCAGAGCTGACTTTGTGAGTTCCACCAGGCAGCTCATGGATGAGGCTTTGGGGCTGACTAGGAGCAGGTGGCAAACTCGGCTGCTTGCCAGGAGACCCTGCCAGTTGGGGCTGAACACCCCTGCAGGAGGGTGCGACGGACTCAATGGCCTCTGAACATCTGACAGAAGCTTGGGAACTGGAAGGAAGCAGCTGGCTGCCTCTCCAATGGGCTGCAGCAGGTATGTGCCTTTCCCTTGCAGTTGTCACCCTGGAAAATTGGCCGGAGCTGCCAGGGATGCAAAACAAGGGTGAAAAGGTAAGAGTCAATAGGAGGATAAAGAGAAGAAGGTGAAAGGTGGGAAGGAAGCCACGTTCGCCATCACTCCTGAGGGCACCCTTGAACCCTCCTCACGCACTAGGTCCCCAAGGCCCTTGGTCAGACTGGTGGCTGCTCCCAGAGAGCCATCATTTATTAAGACAGATCTGCCTACTGCATCTCTATTAAAAACCTCTCCATCCCAGGGCTCTCCTGTGGCAAGCAGGAAGACAATCAGGGAAGCCAGCACATGAGAGTCTCCTGTGAGGGATGGAAGCCCACTTACTCACCTGTGGCTGGGCCCCTCGGGAGCCTCAGTGGCTAGCAGTGCCTCAAACTCAGCTTGGGGAGGAGGTAGAGGAAAATCATCTGAACTATCTACTGGGGCTTCCTGGCTCAGTGGAGGTGGGGGTGGAGGGAGAGCATCAAATGTGGGGTCAGAAGTGGCCTTCAGGTTTAAGTCCTTCACAAATACTTCATCCTCGTTCTCCTCCTGAGGCCGGGGGGTGGCTTGCAGACCGGACTCAGATACTCGCAGTGAGATCCTCCCCAGAGCGTCTAGGTCTGTAGTGCTGCAGGGACTGGGAAGGCTCAGCGGCTTGCTGCAGTGCTTTGGGTTCACAAACTCAGGTGACGAGGCTTCCTCAGGAAAGCTGTCCTCCTGTGCCGTGGAAGCCCACTTTTTCTGAGGAGGTGGCAGCTGCTGAGGCCGTGGGACCCATTTCCACATTCCTGCTCCTCCCTCATGCTCTGGGCTGTTGAACTCACAGCTGCTTGGGCTGGGTGGCTGGGCCAGGGGGTGTCCGTTGTTTCTCTGGGTCCTGGCATGGGTGTAGGGGGGCAGAGGCTGTTGCCCTGCCTGATTGTCCCTTCCAGTCTGCTGATATGAGGTAAGTTGTGCACAGTAGCTAGAGGGAACAGGCGAAGGCAGAGGGGAGCTGAGCGGGGCCAGAGATGCAGCCCTCTCCTCTGGGAACTGCCCCTGCACTCCAAGAAGCAGTGGCCTAGGGCGCAGAACTCTGCTGGCCTGCCTCTGATGGTTTGGGGCCCCAGCAGAGTCATGAGGAACTGAGGAGCTGCAGGGTGTTTTGCAGCCCAAACCATTCCGCTGAGGGGTGGGATGATGGATGAGCAATGCCATCTCTTCTTGGCCTCTTTCTGAGCAACTGAGGGACCTGAAACAGGATACAGATGGGCGGTTACAGCTCTGAACAGAGGGCGAACACTCAGCCCACAATTCATTATACAGATAAAGAAAGCATTTAAAGCAAAAACACTATATGTCCAGGGTGCCCTTTGGCACATTAAAGTACCAGAGAGGCATAGGTCCCAACAAGAAAATGTCACATGGAACCTTCCATCACCACCTCATTAGGTGGTTTTGAAGGAAGGCTTCAGGACACAAAAAGGAAAAAAGGGGTCAATTTCTTCAGCTTCAGGCTCTGGAGCTCTGAGGGAAATGACACCTGCCTCGCTGCCTGCCTTATTCCCTCCCAGCAGGACTGGAGAGAGAGGCCTGTGTGCAGAGTGCTTCAAGGCACTGCTAACCTGGAAGGTTTTACTTGTCACTTTGACTTTCCTAGCGTTTTCACATCCTAAACTGAAAAATAAAACGGAGAGAAGATTCACCTATGGGGCTAACAAGCAGTAACTTCTGGAGAGATTGATAATAAGAAGCAAATATGGGGCTGGGGATTTAGCTCAGTGGCATAAGCGCCTGCCTAGCAAGCATGAGGTTGTGAGTTCGATCCCTGGTACCAAAAAACAAACAAACAAACAAACAAATATAGTACATGGTGGTTTAAACAACTGTGCTTTAGGAATCAAGGAAAAGCCAACAATTCCCATTACTTCTGTTACTGTGTTCAGGAGAGGGGAAAAAGGTAAACAAGACAAAGAAAAGCAACAGCAGCACTGCCTGCCTGTGATGCAAGAGTTAATGTGAGGATAAAAATATCCGGCAAATCCCATCATTTAAAAATTCTGAATCCATAGTTTCCTGACTGGCTTAGCCAAGGAATCTGGAGCGCAGATGGTGCTTTTCATCTCACAGATCTGAGTCTCTGAGGGTTCTGCATCAGAAAAATAGTGCAGGGTCTGCCACAAAGCCATCTAAGTACCAAGAGAGGACAGTGCAGGGGAGAGATTGCAAAGAATAAAATAGCTCTTCTCTTGCCTATTTCTTCTTTCTTACAGATGCAGATGGCTGAGTAAAAGGTCCATCTCCCTCTCAGATGCTACTCCCCACTCATCACAGACCCTTCCACCGACACCGTTTTTACACAGGACTCCTCTGCATCTAAGACCAGCTGTTCCACACATCTCGATGGCTTTCCCAGTGTGATGCTAGATGCCTAGAGCCAGGCGATCCCCAAGCTCTTCACTTTCATGTCATTCATTCTGGCATCCACAGTACCTGGCAGAAAGTACTGTACCTGACAATCTGTATCTGGTGGACAAAAGGTGTCTCTTCTGTCTAATTCAGTGAACGTACAGCATGCATGACGCAGAAGGCTGCTGGTTATCACTGCAACCTCTAAAAGGCTTGCCATCACTGGTCTAGCTGCTCTTCAGACTGAAGGATAGGAATTATTTTAAACTTTGTACACTGAAAGATTTGAGTCAACAGGTACCTTTACTGTTGACTGATGTGGGTGCTTTTACTTCCTGAACTTGTATCTTGAAGCTGTTAGAAAAGGGGAGATATCACTAAAATATGCAATGCTGCTTACCCTTAATGATCCAGCCTCATAAACTTTGATGTTTTAAGTTTACATTCAGCCCTAGTTTACATGAGCCACACTCAAGTTGCATATTTTTGAGAGTAAGATTTGGGTTAAATGCTTAGATTTGGTTGAGAATGCTTCTCCATGGTGACTATACTTTTTAGAAAGATTTTAAATTTTTTTAAAAAACAATCTCACTATATAGTAAAGCAACAGATTTTAAAGTTTACAAAAATGATTTTGTTTAAGCCTTTTTTTTTATAACAGGGTAAGATGGCTCAAAGTCTGTTGATCAAAGCTCAAAGTATCTAGGAATTGTAGTATATAAGAACGGATTTTGGGAACAACTTTGTTTGTTTGTTTGACATAGTTTCACTTTGTGCCTCAGGAGGGCTTCAAACTTGCTGTGTATGTACCCCAGACTACCCTTGAACTCACAACAATTCTCTTGCCTCGGCTCCCCAAGTGCTAGGATTGCAGGCATTCCTCACCACAGCGAGCAAGAGCAACTCTCTCATGTGGTTTTTTTTTTTTTTTTTTTTTTTGTCTTTTTCCTTTTTATCAGTACCGGGGATCGAACTCACAACTGCCTGCTTACAAGGCAAGTGCTTACACCGTGGAGCTAAATCCCCAGCCTCCTCATGTATTTTTTAAAGCATTTTTTTTTATTATAGTAAAGCCACAACATAAAATTTCACCTTCAGGATTTTTAAGTGTACAGTTCAGCAGTGTTAAACATATCCCTAGAGTAGAATAGTTCAGAGGACGAGTGTTTCCTCAGCATGCACAAGGCCTTGGGTTTAATCCCCAGGATTCAAAAAAAATGCTCACATGATTGTGAATCACAGCTCCAGAACTTTTACGTCTTACAAATCTGAAACTACCCCCATTAAATAACTCCCATTTCTCCGTCACCTGCCCCTTGCTAATCACCATTCTTGTATGTTTCTATCAATCAGGGTAGGCAAAATATCTCATATATCTCATATAAGTGGAAACACACAGAATTTGTCTTTCTGTGACTTATGTCGCTTAGTATAACATCCTCAGGGTTCATCCATGCTGTACTGTGTGACAGGATTTCCTTTATTAAGGCCAAAAAATAATCCATTGTCTAGAATAACATACTCTCTTATTTACACAGACAGTTACCCATCAATGGCATTCGGTTGCCACCCATTCTTGACTACTGGGAGTGTTGCTGCTATGAACATGGAGGTGCAAAGATCTCTGAGATCCTGCTTTGAAATTTTGGTTCTTTAGGACATATACCCAGTAGTGACATTGCTGGGCTTTTTCTTTTTTCCCACCTTTGGTATAAAGACTTGAATCTAGGGCCTTCACATTGAGATACATCCCCAACTCTTTTAAAACATTCTAAGTCACTCAGGTAGAGCTCAAACCTGCTATCTTTCTACGGCAGTGTCTCAGGGTATGAGGATTACAGGTGTGCACTATGACACCCAGCTACACTGTTGGGTCATATAGGACATACACTGCATTTTATTATATAGTAACTGTATTTTTTAACATTTGGAGACCCTCCATGTTGTTTTCCATCCCCATGAACAGTATACAAGGGTTCAAATTTCTCTGTTCCAACACTTGTCACCTTCTATTTTACTGATAGTAGTCATCCTAAGGGCGCGAGGTGATATCTCATGGTTTTGATTTGCATTCCTATTATGATTTGACATGTTTAGCACCTTTTCCAATGCCTGATGGCCATATATTTACTAAAATTTAGTTTGAGACAAGGTCTTGCTATTATAATTCAGGGTGGCCTCAAAGTCAGCTCGGAGCAATCTTCTGGCCTCAGATTCCCGAGTCCTGGCATTACAGGCACGTACTACCTGGCCCAGCCAGTTCTTTTAATAATGTTTTTGCTCATCATTAGTTTTCCTTGTTTCTGATTTAACACACGCAAACTAACCAGTCCTCAGCTTCACCTTGGAAGGAGCAACAGCGAATGGCTGAGAAGGCTGCTCATGACTGAAGCATTTACTACTCATTTTCTGATCAAGTTGGCTGCTTTTGTCACAGTACTGACTGATGGGAAGCATAAAAGCAGAAAGAAACAGAAAACTGACTGATTAAGAAAAATGAAGAAACTGGCTGAAAAACATCAAAAGTGGCAGAGATGGTTTAAGAACATTGTCAATGGTAAATAATGTAACAGACAGCTGTAGTAAACAGCTCTATGATGCACTCAAGGTGTACATAACATATGTATTTCAGGGAGAGCCCTCAGAAGATTCCTCCACATGAAATCTCTCCATCTGAAAAGCTCAAAAATTCAAATTCTAAAAATTATTATGTTTTTCTACCTAGGAGATATGATTTTAAAGACTAATAAAAACTTTCTTACTGTTTTTGTGTCTAAATTGCTTTTTTTGACACTACTATGGATTGAACTTAGGTCCTTCACACTGAGCTAGCTATATCCCTAGCCCTTTTTAAACATTATTTTGAGACAAGATCTCACTAAGTTGCTAAATTGCCTAAGCAGGGCTCAAACTTGCAAATCTTTTTACCCTCAGCCTCCCAGAGTGCTGAGATTATAAGTCCTGTGATACCCAGTATATTTTTGTGTTTAAAAATTATGATTTTGAGTTGATTGTCTGTTTCACATGATTCTTGTGGGTTTGTCTTGTCACATGAAGCTGTTCATGGAATGTCCCTTCTTTCTCTATCACTTTAGCCACCATACTTGATCTTCTGTTCACAGAACTAGAAGGATCAGGTACACAAGCAAGAGAGTTCACATGTGAGAGCCCCAGGGTAAGCTTGACAAGACAATCTCCATTAATGATCCTAAGGCTAAATTTGTTAAGAGCCAAGCATTTCCTTAGTAGCATACATTCAAAATCTGCTTTGAACAACTGATACTCTTAGAGTCATTTATAAATAAAAAATAACAGTCCCCATGGCCTAAATTGATTGAAAAAGCAGCCCATGAAACTATTTAACACCACAACATTGCATTCCAATTTCCTGTCAAAGGCAACAGCAGTTTGGCCCCTGCAGCACTCATAGGCAGGAGGCATCTTCACCACACATACATACCTGGGTCCAGGGCCAGCCAAGAAACACCAATCCCTCACAAAACCAAAGCCACTGGGATCTTCCCCCAGCTCACCCTGGAAGCACAAGAAAGGCACTGCATTATTACCAAAAAATAGGTGTTTAAATTCACCGAAATAATGGTGATGGAAGAAGGATGAACATTTCAGGGGCCAAGGCAGTATTCTCTCATACTTCGCCACTTCATCCTCAAAGCTCCAGAAAGTGCTCTTAACCCCACTGCACTGAGGAGGAGAAAGGTCCAAGGTACAAAGTAGCAGTCAGGGTCTAAACTTCGGTCTGTGTCACCAGGTGCCCTCCTTACCAAGAGGTTTCCCAAGTAAGGGAACTCTGATGACGATTATCTCCCGAGTTCAAAGAACTGCAATATGTGAAATATGATGATGATAATGAATTCAATGAGCCAAGCTTTTGAAACTGCAGCAGGGAAATATGGGAGTGACAGGGCAGTTATTGAATTTTGCAAAAGCTCAAATGTGCTGAATTACAGTTAGAAAAGGTAAGAATTAGATTTATAATCAGGCTGGGAAAAATTATAATCTCTGGGGAAAATCTCACCTCTGTGCTATCAGTAACTGGGACTTTTCAAGAGTAGCTTCTGTTTTTAGTAAGGGTACACGCTGGTATCCTGAAAGGATTGACAGTATAAACTGATAATGTGAAATCTGTTCCACATGTTTTTATCCATGATGAAGATGATTAATGTTGTTAGTGATGAGAATATATTTAAGTCTCAATTATTTATAATAGGACACTCAGAAAACAAAATTAAATTCAGGTGTGATGTCTAAGCTTTACTATTTTACCATTTACTCTGTCCAAAGTGCTAACTGCTCTTCACTCTCCTTCTCTTTTTTGCCCCAAGTTCGTGGTGGAGGTATTAATAAGCAATGAAAATAGTCAAAGGTGGTCATGGCTAGTGACAAAACAAACAATTGGATATGGTTAATAATGGTACCTGCCCTTTACCAGGCAATTAACTGTGTGCCACAAACTCTGCTAAGTACACTGCAATGCAAAAAGTATGTGTCTAGAATATTAGACACTTGATATTTCTTTTATAATGTATTCTTTATAACAATGTAACTGCACCCCACAGAAGTATTTAGTCCACAGTTAAATAAACTAGGATTCAAGCCAGGATCTCTTCAAAGATCAAGATCTTTCCATAGAATTTCAAGAGATTAAGTGGAAGCTGGGATGGATGCAATCAGACTTGAATACTTTTTAAAAAATGAATTTCACGTGTTCTGATTTGCTCAAACCTCACTCGAAGGAAAGGGAATTTCTATGCTCCAGAAACCTTCTGTTCTTCCCCCTTACTGTTCTTCTGTGTTATGGATGTGCTCCTAATGCAATCAAGTAAATATGTTTTCACATTCTACTAAGCCTTTGTATTTCACCGTGAGAATGAATCTAACATCTGTGTTCAAATGATTGGACCACTGGAATGTCAAGCTTAAACTGATATGTATGTATGTATAACATAAAAGAAGTAAAACCCAGTGACAGGCTATTAAGAAAAAAATGTTAAATTTCTTGTCACTCAAAAAACCATTTGGACAGAAAGAAAATGCCTCCTCAGCCTGGCAGAAGGCCAAGGAAGGTAAATTTCTATTGCATTTCTTGCTTTGATGTAGGTATATACACAGTGCCAAAGACTTAAGTTTCTATAAACTGGTAAGAAACATATACAGTATTTTAGAGCAACAAAGGATAAGGTAGTGGTTATGGGAGAAACAAGTTATACCAACTTGTTAGTCATCTAATTTATTTTTGTTAGTTATTTCAAAACTGATTTTAAAGTTCACAAGTTCTTAGCATATTGGACTATCAATCCTTACTATTTTTAGTAAATAGTATTCTTAAGAATATCCCGATATCTTTGATGAAATTGAAGGTAACAATACTCATTTAATTTCAGGTTATTCATTACAAAATCATTAAAAAGTAAAAATTGAAAGTCCATGTTAAAAAAACCTTTGTTATTTACACATAAATAGCAGTGATGTGTTAAAATGAAACCAACTTATTGGCTGGTATTTTCAGATATTAGGTCTCATCCCATTCTTGTTTTTATTCAAGGAGAGCACGGTAGACGGCGAACCTTTCAGACCTTTCAACTATACCAGCCGGTGGCTGTAGCATACATGCTGTGGGTTCACCACCACTGAAGGAGCTTAAAAGACTCTATAGCGTCAGGTAGTAAAGGGTCAAAACATCACTCCCTTATACCCCTAATGAAATCCTGTATGCTCTCTGTTGCACAAAGATAACGATTGCATCTACCTCATTATACAGGCAACAGGCTTAATTTTATACTTGTAAATGAGTACAATGCTTGGCACACTGTGAAAATTTGATCACTATCAGATTTTTGTAACTTCAAATTTTGTAGAAAGTTGACTTTGTTAATTATGCCTCAGCTTAAAAGAGTACTTACAGAGAGGTATCTTTTTAGTAACTGTATCTACCACAATCAAGCTGCATCCAACATTGTGGTGCCAAGCACTAAGCAAATGCCTCAGCAATTAAATAATGCTTGTCATACCATCTTGAGCTGAATGTGAAGTCTCCAAATACAGTGAGAACTGGAGAAGTCTCTAACTCAGCATCTGGAAACAAATCCTACCAGAAGTCTTATTTCTCCAAAGAGTTTTTTTTATAGTCTCTGCTATCTTTTAATCTATGCAAGGAAGAAGCATAAATTCCTGTCTCTGAAGCAGAATGTTTGGATCTTTTTTTGCAACTTTGGAGGGCCCACAACTTTTAAAGGTTTTCCAAGGTCTCACAAAAAGCAAGTGGAAAAAGCCAAGAGTCACATATGCACTTGAGTTCCTTCATGACTATCTGTTCTGCAATTACACCTTTCAAATGAAGAGAATTAAAAGAGACCAGATGGCTGCAAGTGTCCCACACTGGCTAGGGAGAAGCCCCCAGTGTCAAATATCTGATCAGGCCTCAGGCATTATTTCAGGCCCAAGAATGGTCATTTGTCATACACAGAGGAAACGATTTCCACGATGACCTTACACACTTGCAGGCAGAAAGTGTGTTCACTAACAGAATTTCGAAAAGGAGCTATACCCTTGCTAATAGCTTACATGGGTAGAGTGCATGCTTAGTTCACTTAAGTCCTTGGGTTCAACACTTAGCACTAAACCAAACCAAGCAGAAACACCAAAAGCTTATACAATTCTGCTATATTAGCAGATAACTGGCAAAGCTGATAGCATGCTGGGGATGTCACAAACTAAGGCAGCACTAGAAACAGACTCCGTCTTTTGGTTTTACTCAGGTGTGTAAGCCTCTTCAAAATCACTAAACCTTTAGAATGAAAAATTCTTTATTAAGAAACATTCACAAAAGCTTAATAATAGCACAATTCCTTGAAATTAAAAAAATTTAAACCAGAATATAAGAGCCCAGTTGCTACATGGTGAAGTTTAGTTTCATTTGAAATTTACTGTTTTCTTTTTTAAAAATTTTTAACCACAGACAAGGCAGGCAATGTAAGGAACAAACTTGGCCACAGACCATTCCTTTAGTCAGGCAGGGATGCTTGCTGGGTGGGAAAAGGATGCTCGAGAATTTTCCAGACTATATTGGCACAAAGCAGCACAAAAGTATCTTGTGAAATACCGCCTTCATTGCTTCATTTTTGCCCAGACTAAATACTAGCCAACTACGGTACTCCTAAAAGAATATCTAAATATTGCTCTATGTTCAGCTTCCAAAAAAAGTTTTTCAAATAATATACTTAATTGGAATTTGCATGTGTCCCTTAACTACAAAACCTATGTTTTAAGACTATTTCTCAATTGATCAGGCTTGTGAAACAGAGGGAAAGGCAAGATAATATTGACAGCTGCCCAACTACTTCGCCAAAACAGAATAATGACATTTAATGGGGGTTGAGTTGTTTCCCCCCTAGGTCTTTCTGTAGAACACCAAGAAAGATTAAAAAGTTTGGATTGCTATGCAGAAAACTACTTAAGTCCATCAAGCTAGCTAAAATTTCCTGTTACACGTAAATTTGTGGTGAATTTTAATAGTAGGAAAAAGAATAGCACACTGTTTTTCATTCTGAAGGAAGAAAACAGCTAATGAAATTATAGAATTGCCTCTATTGATTTTTTGCTGGATAGGTTTGTCCCAGAGAGTGTTTTTCTGGGTAATTTTGAGCAGAAAATTGCCAGGAGATACAGTATTTTCTCCCAGTAGACTCATTCGTATCCCTTCCCCCTTCCCCGCCGCGCGCATATGTATGTGTGTGTGTGTGTGTGTGTGTGTTTCAGAAATACTGAAGCAAACCTCCCAGCCGGTAGCTACACAATCTTTCTGTCAAGTAGTTTTCTCCTCTTAAAGTCTCCAATCAGCATTCCGCCACCCTTTATAGCCTGCTTTAAATCCCACCCACTCCAAAAGTAGTTCTCTTGGGGCTGGGGATTTAGTTCAATGGCATAAGTGCCTGCCTGGCAAGCACAAGGTCTTGAGTGCGATTCCCAGTACCACATTTTTTAAAAAAAGGAGTTCTCTTGGACCTCAGCTAGAATTACTCACTTTTCCTCCTGTAGCATATTAGCATATCATTCACGACCATTTCCACAGCACTCACCATACATTCATATTCCTTCCTCAGCTGTGAACTCCAGGAAAGCATGGGCCTTTCCTTCTTATTTCCTTCAACCCCATAATTCAGCATTTTTTAGACAACATGTGCTCTACAAATGATTGCAAAATGGCAGACTTTTCTGCAACCAAAAATAGGAGAACCAGAGAAGGGCAATAGAGGGGCTCTTTCTCTCCTAAGCTAACACACAAATGAACTAACATCTCAGGTGTTAAGGCAAACTAATGACCTCTAGCAAAAGTGAACTGCTAAAAATTACTTATGGAAAAAAATATACTACTAAGAATCAGGAGCTCAGGTTCTGGTTCTAGCTTTGCTTGAAATTTCCACAAGACAGCACTTTATAATTGTTTTTTAGTTTAAAGCCTTTAAATTTCATGTGAAAATTTCAAAGTCCCATTTTCCTACCCCAGTAAGTGGGAGGCAGAGACATAGGTTTGATATGGGCAATATAATGTACTCTACACCACAGGACTGCTGTGAGGATGAATTATGAGATAAGAAATGAAAAGCATAATTAGCCCAAGGGCAGGTACATACCTAGGTGAGGGCCAGGAACTCAACACCAATACCTATCAATAATTCTAGTTATTTTGTAGAGGCAAAGGAACACAAAAGATACAAAGTTAAAATCTTCAAAATAACAGCCACTCTCTATTCATGGCGGAGAGGTTGGATAGATGGAGAGGAGGTAGATAATCTCTGAACTTTTTCAAACAGTGTATTCTTGTACTGATGGGTAGATGATGTCCTAAAAGGGGGTATATATGTGCACATACATATACACACATACACACAGATGTACAAAAATTGATATATCTCTATAATATATGTGTATGTAGACTAACGAAAAAAATCATCTCATGAAAACAAATGCTCACTTTCTGCATTCAAAGAAAGCCTGAACAAGAGTATGTAGTAGGGAGGCAGGTCCCATTAACGCAGTGCCACGGCTAGAGCGACTGCGGCTTGAGGTGGCCCTTTTCCTTCAACTTGCTGCATTCCAACATATCTGAGTATGTTAACCTATTTAAACAGAAAGTTAAAACGATGTATAAAGGAAAATACTTGTATTTCCTTGTACTTGAATCTTTGCCACGTTAAAAATGGAGTAATTTGTTACAATGTAACTTTACTTTCAGTTAATAAAGCAACCCAAACAACGTGCCCACCCCCATTAATACTGCCAGAGCCAAAGGGACCTACCTGGTGCCTGTTATCTGCAGTGGGTGAGGACCTGGACCTTGTGTGGACAGGAACCGCCTTGACTTCCGAGCGCTCCAGTAGGTCCTCAGCTGATGCAGACTTTGCTGCTGGGGCTCCCCGGGAAGATGGCCCTCTGAGGGTGTGGTCCTCATCTGGAGTGCTCCTCGGCCTACTATGTGCTGCAGCTGCACGGAGCAGCTCCCCTGGAGTCCGTGGAGCCTGGGAGTCCACTCGCAGGAAGCGCCCACCCGCGAAGGAGTTGCTGCGATCTCGGGGAGCCCCCACTAAGGGCTCAGCAGCACTGCCAAGAGGGGGGCCGGGGCGCGCGCGGGTCTTGCGCCGCACGTAGTCAGCCAGTGCGTTCTGCTGCAGCCGCTTCAGCTCCGGTCCGGATGGGCCACGCACAGGGCGCGGCCCAGCATCGCCCGCAGTGATGCCCACCTCATGCATGCGTCCTGGCTCCGAGTAGGAGCGCGCCTTCTGCTCAGGCTCAAGGCGGCGGCGCGGGCCTCGGCGGGGGGCTGGTGCAGGCCTGGCAGGGCCACCCTCAGAAGGAAAGCCCTCGGCTGGGGCCCCCTCAGCGGGGCCAGCGCTGCGCCTCTCCCGCGGGCTGTGTGGAGATACCCAGGCCCCCGCGCCTCGCAGCCCCTCGTGAGCTGATGCTGGCCTCCTAGGCGCAGGCGCACTGGGCCCGAGGTCACGGCGCCGGAAGGAGGTGGCGCCCAGAACGCGGGACTGAGCGTCCTTGAGGCTGTCCCTGTAGGTGCGGCTGCAGGGCGGCTCAGGTGTGCTGGTGCCCAGCAGCTGCAGAGCACTCTGGCTGCGAAGCAGTCGGGCGTCCTGCTGCGGTGTGAACTCAACGGGCCCCCTTCGCCATGGGCCCCGGGGCTGCGGCCCTGCTGTCTCCCACTCAGACTCCCTGACAGCGTCATCACCATCACTTCCTGCCTGGGAGCCATGGATGCCAGACTTTGCGTTGGTGTCCCGGAAGTTATTCCCAGGAGCACCGGAAGTTGGGGCTGCTTCGCTGGGCCTGTAGTGATAGCCCAAAGCAGAGCCTCCAGCACTTGGGAGTCTCTGACCCCTGTGCTCTCTCTGCTCGATCATGGAAACTTTCTCCAGCACTGAGGAACGAGACTGTCCGGTGGGAAAGGCCTGTAGGGCTGAGACGCAGCCTGAACTGAGTCTCCTCGTGGTCAGGCCAGAAGTCTGCTGGTGGGCTGGGCTGGGAGGCTCTTCACACCGGGGGTCTGAACTGTGCACAGAGGTCGTTGCACTGGCTCTCCCATCAGGCCGAGTGTAGGAAACTGGCCTGTCTGAGTGGCCTGTGTGGTCACCTTTGCTCTCAGGGCCTTCTACCTTGGTGTTGACTGCACAGTTAGGCCTCCCACTGGAAGATCCCACCTGGGCTCCCCCTCCTAGCTCCAGACTGCTTTGCTTTCTGAAGCTCTCTGGAATGTTCTGGAGAGATGAGAAGGCTGACCTGGCCCTGCCAAAGTTGCCTTCTCGCTCCAGCTTTGGCCAGAGATTGGCATTATGATCTTCCTGAAAATCACGTTCCCAGGATTCCAAAGGCCCGGAATGTCTCTTTTCTTCACCCACCTGCCAGGCCTGAGCCTGAGTGGATTTGAAGCTGTGATGATTAGAATACAGTTTGTTGCTAGGAGCACTCTTCCTCTCACTAGGATGTGGGCTGTTGCCTTGGGGAGGTGTGAGACGGTTGTTCAAGGAGGAATCCTCTTCATTTTCAGGCACTGAAGAAAAATGGACTTTGTAGGGGACATTCTTGGCTGTAGTTTCTGGTTTCCTTTCCACTGGCAACAATGAATTATGTTCTTGGGGCTGGTAGAAGGCAAATCCAGGCTGGCTGGCTCCATTCTGGTTCCCATTCTCATCGAAGGCATCTATTCTGCTGCAGGCTTCCTGTGAGGCTGTGTATGCACTCTCCTTGGCCAGTTCAGGATAAACTGTTCCATTACTGTTTATAGAAGGCTGGGGCACCTGGGCAAAGTGTGGCTCCAGGGAAGGTACAGGGTAGATGCCAGTAGGCAGCAGAGGTTGGCCAGGCTGGGCCTTCTGAGTATAGTTGTGCTTGGGCTTCACTGGTGGGCTGTTCTCTGGACTCCTCTCCAGTACAGTGTGCAACTGTTCCTCGATAAAGGGAGCCTTCAGGGAGCCTAAAGAGTGTGCTGGAGGCCAGCAAAACCGTTTCTGATCCAGGCTTGACAAGGAGCTGGGCCGCTCCCGGTGCCGAAAGGCTGTATAACTGTCACTCCGAGCTGGGGGCAGAGGCGCACCCACTTTGTGTGGCAGGTTGTCTGTGGCAGTCTCTAAGGAACTGGCACGCTGCTGGCTCCAGGAAGAGGATGGTGCTCCTTTGCCCCAAGCGCTATTCTGCCTCTCATCATTGCCCTGGCCATTTGCTGATATTTGGGACTCTCTACCCTGGAAGAGCACAGCTGAAGAGTTCACCTCATACTCAGCGGAGACTCCCTTCCGGGGATCATAGACTGTCTTGACATAGCGAATATCTGCTTGCTTCATCCCTTCTAGGAGGCCACCTCGGGCAGTGAGAGTGTCCATAGATCCTGAGCGCTCTCGGCCAGAGATGCCAGGGGGTGGGTATTCTAGGATGCTAGAACTGGTGGAGAAGGAGCTATATGCCGAGTCCCTCTTGCTGTGGAGGTGGCTGAGCTGGTCAATGCTGCTGGTGGACTTGGCAGGGGAGAGAAGACGGCAAGGTGGGTAGCCTCCACTGGGCTCCAAGCTCTCCATGCTCCCCTGGGAGCTGCACCGGTCAGGACTCCGCCTCATATAAGCATGGTCATAACTGGAGAAGTCACTAGTCGAGGAGCTGAAAGAAGGCGAGTGGAAGCAGTCAGCACTACTGAGCAGTTACCATTTAGCAAGCCTACAGCCATAGGACTAGTGTAAAATGTACTCTTATGCAAGATGTTTGGTTTTTGGAGGGGTGGGTAAAAAGGGCCATATTTGGGCTTTGCTCAGCTCCTCTGAGGCACTAACTGCCCAGAGCTGCAGTTGATGTGCCTCTAATTACTCACTCAGATTTGGTGCAAGAACAGGGCCCACAGAGGAAGTCATGGCCTTTGGGCAGAGACAGCACACTGAGGTGATTTGCTGCGCTGGAGATGACATTATGCATATTACAAGAAATGAGAAGAGGAAGAACAATGATAGGGACTGAAATTTTTTGTTTTGCTTTGTTTTTTTGAAATTTTGTGTCTATTGTTTTGTCTCTTTGTGGGAAGAAAGAGGCTGAGTGAAAGAATAGGCACATGAAGGGATGAGAGAGACTTCTATGCACAAGTATGTTTTTAGTAAGGATCTTTCCTTTTAAAAGAGTTAAAAGCTACACCCCGGCAATCTTCCTACAATCTCAACTGCACTAGAGACAATTTGTGATTAAAAAAAAATGCTAAACACAAAGCTAAGTGACAGAAATACACAGAGAAATTAGAGTTAAAAAAAATAAAAGCTGAAGAAGAAAGTAAGAAAAGAGAAGGAAGCTTTAAAAGAAGTAGCCACAGGAGGATCTTGAGTGCTGGGATTCTATTACCTACGAATGACAGTGTACATTTAGAAGGGTAAGACTTACAAGCTTCTCCTGACAGTTTTCAGACTCTGGCTAGGAAAAGCGATAAAGACTCTCAAACTTGGAAATTTCAAAAAGTTGCCTCAAAATAAAATTACTTACAGTTAGCTAAAAAAAAAACCTCTTAAAACTCAATTAACAAATTCCCATTAAAAAAATAGGCCAAAGGCTTCATTAGACACCTCACCAAAGAAAAGATACAGATACAACTAAGCATATAAAAAGATACTCCCCGGTGTATATCATTAGGGAGTGGCAATCTGAAACAATGGATTAGAAAGGCTGAAATCCAGAGCACCGACATAGATGCTAGGACACGATGCAGAAAAATAGGAAGTCTCTTTCACTGCTGGTGGGAATGCAAAATGAGAAAGTCACTTTGGAGGATAGTTTGGCTGTTTCTCATAAAACTAAACATATTCTTGCTGGGCATGGTGGCACATGCCTATAATCTCAAGCAATTGGAAGGTTAAGGCAGAGGTTATCTGTGATTCTGAGCTCAGTTACATAGTGAGTTATACAGTGAGTTCAAGCTGGCCTGAACTACATAGCAAGACCTCTCAATCCAAACCAAGGTCAGACATGGTGGTACATGCCTGTAATCCCAGCACTTGGGATGCTGAGGCAGGAGGATCGCTGTAAGTTTGAGGCCAGCCTGGGCTATAAAGTGAGTTCAAGGCCAGGCAAGTTCAAGGCATAGTGAAACTGTCTCAAAAAACAAATAAACAAAAACCCTCAAAACTAAAACAATCTAAAAGTATTGTTATATACCGGAAGCATACTCTGCTATATTTTGGATGTGTTTTGTCCCCCAAGGGTGCACATATTGGAAGTTTGGTCCCCAGAGTGCTGATATTAGGAGATAGTGTAGAACCTTTAAGAGGTGGTGCTGGTGGTACATGCCTGTAATCCCTGTACTCCAGAGAGCTTGAGGCAGGAGGATCACCAAGCTTGAGGTCAGACTGAAGTATATAGGGAGATAGTCTCAACCTCCCACAAACCCCCCTCTCAAAAAAACAAGAAGTGAGGTCTAGCAGGAGGCTTTTAGATCGTTGGGAGGGCTGTTCTCAGAAGGCAATAAAATAACTCTAGCAGGAGCTCTAGAAAAAGTGAGTTCTAAGAGCAAGTACAACATCTGAATTGCTCTAGGCTTCCTATTTCAAGGTGTGATCTCTTGTGTCTTCTCACTGTTGCCACACCATTGACCAGGACATCATCAGAAGCTACACCAAAGGGCTGTCCAATCTTGAACTCCTAGCCCCCAAACTATAAGCTGAATAAATCTCTTTTCCTTATAAAGTAACTTGCCTCAGTTATTCTGTTTTAGAAATGTCCAGCTGTTTTAGGTACACTCCTTGGTATTTACCCAAAGGACCCGAAAACTTATGTTCACATAAAAACCTGCACATGAATGTTTATCGCAGATTCACTGAAGTGTGCCAAAGGTGCTTGGAAGCCTAGGGTGCTCTGGAGTAAATAAGCAAACAGATGAACTATGATCTACCCAAACAATGGAGTATTATTCAGTGCTAGAAAAAAGGAACTGCCATTCCATGAAAAGACACAGAGGATACTTAATTGCATATTACCAAGTAGAAGTTAATCCAAACATGCTACATATTACATGATTTTAACTATATGATACTATGGAAAAAGTAAAAATTTGGACACAGTCCAAAATCAGTCGTTTCCAGGGGTAGAAGGAGGAGAGGATGAATAGGTACAGTATGGACAATTTTTAGGGCAAAGAAACTACTCCATCTTATATAATTATGGCAGATATACTTCATTATAAATTTGTCTAAACTCACAGAATGCATAACAGTAGCGATGACCCATAAGGTAAATTGTGGATTTTGGATGATGTCAGTGCAGTTTCATGAATTGTAACAGACATAGTATTGTGGCGGGCATGCTGTAATGCAGGACCCTGTGCATATGTGAGGGCAGAAGAAAGTTAGGATACCTCTGTACCTTCCATTCAGTTTCATTATGAAGTTAAAATTGTTGTAAAAACTAAAATCTATTAAATATATCTGGGCTAGGGGTGTAGTTCTGTGGTGGAAAGTTTGCCTAGCAAACTTTATCTAATCTCCAACAACATAAAACAAAACATACCTATTTATCTAGAAGGAGACCATACTGGAAGGAATAAGTGGTTCAAGACTCAAGTAGCAGTCTCCATATTTCAAACTGTTTTTTAAAGAAAGCTAAATCACTAAGAGTTCTTGCCTAAAAAGTGCACTTTCAAGTGAATAGGCATTGAGGCATATTAAGATTCACCATGGAGCTGTTATTACTATATTTCCAGACATAATCTAAGGAAATATGATAGCTTACTATTCAACTGTGTGATTTGTTTTGTTTTGTTTTGAGACAGGACTCACTATGTAGTCCAAGCTGGCCTTCTGAGTACTGGGATTACAGGTGTGCACTATCATGCTCAGCCCTGTGACAATGTTCTATCACTGGGATATCTCCAGAGAATAAGTCTAAAAGACTAAAAGGATTATATTGAGTCTAAACATGAGTGGTTGGACATGGTTCCCATGTTTATAATCTCAGTTACTCCAGAGGTTGAGATAGGAGAATTGCAGGTTCCTGGCCAGCCTGATCAACTTTGCAAAAACCTTTTCTCAAAATATATAAATGGGTTGGGATACATCTGAGTGGTAAAGTGCACTTGGGTTACCCCCCCCCGGCCCCAATTCTCTCCTAAAACACAACCACTACCACCACTACCACTGCCAAAAAAAAAAAAGCAAACCCATAACAAACAACAAACTAGTGAAAAATGCAATGAAAAGATAACATTTTCAACAAAAGGTAATCAAAAGAGTTAATCAAAAGAATAATTTTTTTTCTATGAGAGAAAATCACCTTACTGAATAGCGCACTCTGCTGTGGAAGGAGACGCTCCCTCCATCTCCAGTTGCCCTCTCAATGGAGAGGCTGTGTTCCACAAGCGTGAGATCACCCAGTTGGAGATAATAACCTATTCTGCTTCAGTGTATCTCCTCCATCAGAAGATTCAAGCTAACACTTCAGGAAAACAGAACCAGGTGGCCCCATAAGGTGGCTGTCTTATAGATAACAGTCACTGCTTAACACATTCCCACCAGTTTGAATCATCAGTAGTACACATAAGACTGTCCGTGTAGTGGCTGGTACCATTGGTGACACATCCAATCACTTTTACTGGTCTTTTTACTAATATAATTTTTTTAATTTATAAAAGTCTATGAATGGACCAAATGTAGTTAGTAGCTTAAATCTGAATAATTATTGCTGAAATAGAATTATTAATATGATTTGTACCAATCATTGGTGGTTCAAGCCAGGAGGAACCAATCATACTCAAATCAAGGCCACCAGGACATGAGACAAAGGAATTATAGCCCTCTCATGAATACGTTAATCTCCCTTGGAAATACTAAGGCTATCAGCATACTGTTACTGAAAGAATAATTAAAATCTACCTTGGAAACACAAAGAGATTAAACTCATGGTTGACTGTGAAGTATTACTAATCCTATCAAAGCTCAACATATAGATGGTGTCTAGAAATAGGAAAGCCTAGTGATGTGGGTTGGGGTCCTCTGTGTAGCAAACCTCTTGGGGAGATTATCACATGAAGTCTTTTGTATTTATTTATTTATTTATGTGGTACCAGGGATACCTAGGGCTTGCCAGGCAGACACTTATGCCACTGAGCTAAAAAAGGCCTTGAAGCTTTTTTAAAAGTGTTCTCCCCTCCTGTCCCAGGAGTGGCCTAATCCCTTGATAACTGTCATTCTTAGCTGCCTGATAACATAGGCTCTCATGTCACCCTCAAGGAACAAGTCCTTCCTGCTCTATCTGGAGCTATCCATTCAATTACTTTTGCCATTTCTGTTCCAAAGATGGCAATTTTATGCAGGGTGAAAACAATTTGGACTGGTATCCTCAGTCCTGCTGTGATTCCAACAAGAGTGCAGGCTGAGCATAGCCTGGTTACTTTTCCATCCTCATGGTCTAGAGCTCTGCTTTCTGCTCACTGAATGTCAGCAGAGCAATGAGCTTGTCACTGTGACAAAACCCCACCAGACGGGTACCATGGTGTCTTAGGGTCTCAGGCCTCTGTCCCTGCTGTTCCCCAAATCCAGAATGCGCTCTTCCCCTCTCCCTGCCTTGCTTCACTCAGTCTCTGCTTCAGAGAGGACTTTCGGAACTGACTCAGCAGCTCATGCTTTCCTTATGCCATCACTGTCCTTATTTCCGTCCTGTCACTCAGCACTACTTGCCTTCATAGCGCGTGATTTTGGTTATGTGAAAGAGACTTCAATGCTATCCAAGACGGCTAACAAACTGAAGCACACACAATAAATATTAATTCTGCGTGGCAAATATATGTATTATATGTAACTATTTTATGTGCTTAAAAGTATTTTTGAATATTTAAAACATGGAAAAGAGCATGCGAATGTATGAAAGCATTTTCTGAAGTGTACACATATAACATCAATTTCTTGAATAATTAAATATTTGGAAAATACTGGCCTAAATAAACAATTTTATTTACTGTAAGACTTCTGAGTCTTTTACAAAGTATTGTTCATCTGCTGTTCTCTTTTCTTTTTCTCTTTCCTTTTCTTTTTGAGATGAACTTTTGCTAACATTACCCAGGCTGACCCTGAACTGTGGATCCTCCTTCCTCAGTCTCCTGAGCAGCTGGGATTATAGGCATGTTACACTATTCCTAGCTCAGCTGCTGTTCTAAAAGGGAACATACTAAACCAAGGATGGCAAACCTTTTAGAGCTTTCATTGATAACAAACAGCCCACTGCAGCACAAGTGCCTTAGGTTTGCCATCACTGTACTATTTTCTCTATACTTATTTGACTCTAGAAATGTTTTTTTTTTTTCATGGAGAATCTAATCATGGATTATCACTCTATGGAATGTACTCTGAGAAACAAATTTGTATAATAGAGAGAATTTTCTCTCTTGTTCACTGTACTCCCTATACCTAGAAATCTCTGAGATGCAGTAGTGGGTGCTCCTGTTTGCTAAATGAATGAGTCATTGAGTAAGTACTGATAGTTTAGCATTTTGATAATGTTATTTCAGCCTGTGTCAGAGGGCTGGCCTACAAGACTTTTCAAGCTGTCTTAAGTATTTTAATAGCTTTACATCATTGTGTGAGATTTCTGTACGGCAATGAAAAGACAGTGTCAACCATCTGGCAGGAAGCAATTGAAATAAAATTTCAGTAACATTCTAAATCCAACTCAGCTCATTCACACTTACAAGTGTCCTAGGACATAAAATAGTTACATAATAATACATATATTTGCCACACAGAATAATATTTATTGTGTGTGCTTCAATTTGTTAGCCGTCTTGGATAGGACTGAAGTCTCTTTCACATACACAGCTTGTGTAGTGCTGTGTGTGCAAGGCTGGGTTCCATCCCTAGGACATGAAGATAAAAGGAAGGAGGTTGATGACCTCAGCATCTCTGTCCTTCTCTTTCCATGTGGACTCTCTCCTGACCCTTCCTTCTCCGCTCCTCACACTCCTGCTTAATGGGAACAGATCCATATACTCAGGCCTGAGGTTGGGTGTCAGAAAGAAAGCAACCCACCTGACACACCAGACCCTAGTTACTCGTACTCCTCGTAGCATTCCTAGAGCTCATCTACAAAGGCAAGGGCCACCATTTGACCCAGGAGCAAGGCCCAAGGTAAGAGGACTGCTCTGCCCAGCTGTGGGCCTCAGGCTGGAATGAAAGGAGGCCAGGGCAACTGGTGGAAAAGAAGAGGGCACACGTGCCTGCTGTAATCTGAGTTTTCCTGTTCTTTAGTGTGGACACCTGGAGGAGACAGAGCCACCTGCGTCCACCCTCTGGAGGCTGGGTGGGGAGGGAGAGGCATGGCTTCCACCACTCCCCAAGAGTTATTCCAAGCATGGAGGGCAGTATTTTTATTTCTGTATTGGGAGCCAGCACATTTTTAAGTCCCCAGTAAAACTTCATATTTAAAGCTTCCAAAAAGGATAAGGGTTAAAAAGCCCCAGCAGATTCCACTGTTCAGGGCACTCTGTTAATACATACTTGCATTTACAAGCTTAGGCTAGTTCACGTCTTAACTTTCGAGTTCATTCCAAATTTCACTGTGCCAAATTTCAGCATGACTATTGTAATTAGCTATCATTTACTATTTATTATACAACAGGAGTTGCACGTTATTTTATTTAATCCTTACAATAATCAAGTGACACAAGTCTGATTTCATTTTACCAAAAAAGCAGCCAAGATCAAAGAGGTTAAGTGATCTGCAGTAGCTGATGAGAGTTAAACCCAGGTGAACTTAAAAGCCAAGTACCTTGGGCTGTGCTGTTCTTCAAGCTCCCACTCCTCACCTTCTCAAGGCTGTCAACCCCTTCTGGGATTCCTTGGCAGGAAGGGGCTTAGGGAGAGGACCTACTCTCTGATAACAGATAGCTCAGATGGACATGATAAATTCCTCAGAGCAACAGGGCCACGGCAAGGGAAAGGAGGATCTTTAACAGGGCGGGTCACCAGCAGTCAGCTCTTACTCTAACATACTAGTCTACGGCTGTTCTGCGTCCACCAGCGAGAGATCCAGGGTTTGGCCCTTGACCTGACCAGACAAAAGCTTACAGGGCTATGACTGGGTCCTGCCCTTGTCAAATGCATCGGATCCAGGTGTAAAGTAATCCTTCCAAGAGCTAGGCAGAGCTGCTCCCCACCACACACTCCAGTACTCACATCTCATTTGGACATAGGGACCCTTATTCTCTTAACCTTCCTACACCCCTACAATTTCCTCTCACTAAGCATTTCCCAAAATGATTCTGGATAGATGCCCGTTTGGGTCTGCAGTGGGTACAGGCGACCCAGACTTACTTTTGTCTTTAATGTGTCTCAGTGTCTGGGTGGGCTCCCTTTCCCCAGTTTCACTCAATTGTGTATGGTATGATTTCCATACACAATACCTTCTCTTACAACTCCCTCTTTCCTGACCGAACTCTTCCTGGGGCCACCAATGACAGAAGAGGAGGATGGATTACCTAGCAACTTAGCAGCTACATGCAAGAGTTTTGGAACCAGCCTTGGGTTTGTCATGACTGGATCATGGATCAGTTGTTCTACCTTAAGACAACCTTTTTCCAAGCTTCAATTTTGTATCCTATAAAGCAAGGCAAATCACACTCTCAGCTTTAAACAAGTGAATAAAAGATGACAAGAGATCACATATGCACTGAACACTCCTGCTTATTTTAGTTGCTGCTGTTGATCTAAGATAAACTGCATTTGGGGAAAAAAGCAAACTGTTCAAAAGTATGAACAGAACCACTCAAAAAGGAGATAATTTTGGCCAAAGCCGATAGGATGCACAAGCACTGAGCAAGAAGTCTGTTGATTTTTCTAATGTAGTATTATAATGGGTAATTGAGAAATATTTGGTGAGCTCTGTAACTGGTCAAGTGGTCAGGCAGTGCTTTAAGTATTTCTTCTCCCTTCAGGCTGATCTAGCCTGTGACTCATTCTAAGGGAAGGGAGAAGGAGGAGGGTAGAGGGTGAAGACATTATTCACAGAGCGAGGGCAAGAAGGAAATGTTCTTTTCTGGGCACACAATGTCTGGAAGGAGCCCCTCAATCTGAGCGGCAGCCACTTACCTGGAATGGTAGCTTTGGTGCCAGGGGGCACTCATCGTGCCCTGAGATATCTGCATCATGCTGCCTTCTGATGGGTGCTCCTCGATTTGGGCCGTGTGCCACGAATGAGGGCGGCCCGTGGGTTCACTGCGCCTGGGGAGACATAGGAGAGGAAGCCCAACGTCAGTAGCCTCCTCGGCTGTCTCCTCAGAGATGGGAAAGTAACCTAGAGAGTACTGCAAAGAAGACTCTTCGTCACTGCGGCTCTCTGCTCAATTTTTCATTTCACTTCTGATACTACCATAATCCCAGATTACACAGAAATGTTACAAAATTAGCATAAAGAGTTCCCACATTAATTTAGACTTCCTGCCTGCTAATATTTTATGCTTTTTAAATGCAAAGCATGGGGAACTTTTCAGTCTTTTCAGGCCTCTTTATGTGTAAAAAATGGGAGCACTAATCCCTTTCCCCAAGGGACTTTGGAGAGATGCAAAATGCTTTCTGGGCCTTTTGACGTCCTCTGTCACAACCTGGTGCTGGTTAAGTGAAACTACTCTTACTTTCTTGTAAGAACTTCATGAAGACGAGCAGCTGCCTCGTGTTGACAAGGCTCCGAGAGGCACAGTTCAGAGGACAAAGTGCTCTCCAAAACAGTTTCCCATTTTGCAAGTCAGTGGCTTCAACTTTTCAACACCCAAGAACTGACCAGACCAAGGGGAAGTGGGAGTGTCCTTCAGTCTGCAGGGCTGGGAGGAGTCTGGTGAGAAGACTACACTTCTGCAGAAAGGCAGTGTCAGGCCACAGTGAGGTGATCTGTCAGACACTGCCCGCTGAAAACACTGGCGCAGGGAGACTGCAGGGGGAAATTCTCTGCAGCTTAGAAACACTCCGTGGGATCTGGGAGCCCACTCGGAGATGGTGAAAATAATAGCTGCAAATTATCCCAATTCACTGTACTTGGCCTTGAGGCTAAAAACCTACCCACCTCTTTGCTGTGAAACACAAATTAGCTTCTGTAATACAAATGAAAACTCCCTCTTGATGCCAGTAAAATTCATCTGTTAAGCAGGTCAGCATAATACTAGACCAGGTGCCAGCAGACTCAGGGTCTCGCTCTGACTGTCATTAACTTGCTGTATGACCCTATGGGAAACCACTAGGGTCTATCTATGGGAAACCACTAGGCCTCTACTATCTAAAAAGTGAAAAGATTAATCGAAGAGACTGAATTAAGCTCATTTTAATCTTCAATAACTTTTTTGTTGGTTTTTGAGACAGGATCTTGCTATGCAGTCTACACTAGCCTTAAACTTGCTATGTAGCACAAACTGGCCTCAAACTTCCTGTCTTCCTCAATTCTCCTGCCTCAGCCTCCCCACTGCTGGGATTACAGTATAGGTATACACTGCCACACCTAGATAATTTGAAATAATTTTTTTTTTTTTTTGTCTTTTTCCTTTTTGTCGGTACCAGGGATCGAACTCACGACTGCCTGCTTGCAAGGCAGGCACTTATGCCGCTGAGCTAAATCCCCAGCCCCGAAATAATTTTTTAAAATGTATAAAGAGCCAGGCATGGTAGTGCATACCTATAATCCCAGCACTCAGGAGGCTGAGGCAGGAGGACTGCCATATGTTCGAGGCCAGTCTATGCTAGTGAGAACCTGCCTCAAAAAATAAAATAAAATAAAATACTTTATTTTATTGGTGGTACATGCCTGTAATCCTAGCACTCAGGAAGCTGAGGCAGGAGGATTGCTATGAGTTTGAGGCCAGTCTGGGCTACATAGTGAATTCAAGGCCAGCCTGAACTACATAGTAAGACGTTGCTCAAAATAAGAAAAGAGAAAAAAAAAGGACTGAGGATATAGTTTAGCAGCACAGAGCCCAGTCTGGCAAGCAGGAGGTCCTAAGTTCAATTCCTGGTACCAAAAATAAAAATAAAAATAATAACAACAACAATAATAAAATACAATGTATAGAGACACTGAAGGGCTTCTCCTGACAGATGATGATTTTCAAAATATCCACACATTTTGACTCTTGAAGGAAGACTATGGTGATAGGAAAATCACTGTATGAAGCAAGAGAAAGCAGTGCATACAACTTTTTAGTAGTTATTTAGGCCAAGAAAAGCAGGAAACACTCAGATCTTTCTGAAGATGGGATGGCCTGGTGCTGTGCTGTGGACAGGTCAGAGGGTATTCCCACAGGGGGTCACATGGTGAGGCTTAGCTCCAGAACAGCTAAACAAGGTGGCAGAACATCTAAGAAGTGGAGCCTGGGGACAAGAACTAGGGCACTCACTGGGGGCTGTGCTCTGAGGGATCAGTGGAGTTCTCGCCATTCCCACAATAAGGGGTTGCCATAAGAAGGATACATCTGACCCCTGATACTCTTTAGCTCCTGTCTCACCCTGAGGCCCTCACCAGGGTCCAAACCCAGGGCTACTAGGCTGCCAAAACTGGGAGCAAAATAAACCTCTTGGGCTCAAGTGATCCTTCTGCCACAGCCTCCTGAGTAAGTAGAACTATAGGCATATGCTTCCATGCCTGGATGTAAACCTCAATATGTATTAGCCAGCCTCAGGTATTTTGTTATAGTAATAGGAAACAGATTATTATAGCTGGCATGAGCATAAAAGCATCAGCTCTGAGACAGGACAAAGATTCTAATTTACATTTTTAAATCAGATCCCATTGGCTTTTATTTTTTGAATTCTAGGTATAATTCCTCATCACTCTGAATTGCCTCATTTGTAAAAATGCAGATTATAGCAGTCTATTCAGGATTTTTGAGATTAAAAATGTGCCTGGCACATAGTAAGAGCTGAAGAAATGTTAAGTATTATTATTGCCAGTCGTTCATTATTAAGGAATTTATAGAGAGGCTGGGAAGACTCACTCATCAGCTCTGTTGAAAAGGATGGACAGCAGAAGGGAGAAAGAAGCAGAGGGTAAATGCCGGAGGAGAGAGGAGTGGGCAAGAGTTGTTGGTGGGGATGAGTCTCCCAGCTCTAGCTCCTCAGTGGGGTGCTGATGGCCAATCATCAGAGAGGCTGGCCTCAGGCATACTGTGGACACAGCCTACAGCAGGCTGGCCAAAGGCAGGAAGCTGTCAGGATATTAGCAGGATATACACAGGCCACAGAGAAATAGACCTTCCCCACTGGGAATCTACAAAAGAACCAACAGAAGTAGTAGCACAGCATGGAGCAGAGAGATGAGGGAAGATGCAAAATCAGGAGATTAGTAAGCCAGTACGTCTTTTGTTTGGCTCCTTGCCCCTGTAGCTCTCTATTGCTCACAGCGCATCCTACATAACCCCTGCCTTTAGGTTTAGCACGGCCCAAAGTTGATCAGCCTTTTCTCTGGAAGGCCACCATGGAAGCCGTCGGCTATGACTCAGGCTGATAGCATTCTTGCAGCTAGTTCCACTCTGACCTGGGACATCCAGCTCCCAAAAACCAGCTGCTGTCTCTTCTCCAGCTCTTGGAAGGCAGCTGACTTCTCTTCAGCGTCAGCTCCCCACTAACTCATCACTCTGGTTTGCCACTTGGTTCTGTCCAGTAATAAGCAATCTCTCCTCCTCGTGCCTCCAGCCCTTTGGAGGATGTCCAAATCACAGTCAGGAAATTTGGGAGCCAGGGCTGAAACCCAGTTATAGATATGACTTCAAACTGGACATGGTGGCACACATCTGTAATCCCAGATCTCAGGAGACTGAGGCAAGAAAATTGCCATGAGTTCAAAGCCAGCTTGGGCTACATATCAAGATCTTAAACAGACAAACAAACAAACAAACAAACAAACACAAAAAGTATCTTTTGCCTGAGACACCCAGTGGCATTTCACACAGATATCATGTCTTCTTCCTACTCCATGTTCTGTCTACTTAAATGAAGGGGTTGGCAGGACTCCTCTGAATAGCAGGATGTGAACTCAGTGTGGCAGCACTGTATAGCTGAGAGTGGCACTCTACGTACCCCTCCACAACTTATTCCCTGCCTGTACTGGGGATTGAACCCAGGGCCATGCACATGTTAGGCAAGTGCCCTACCATACCTCTGCCCCCACTCTCATTTTTAGATATGGTCTTGCTAAGTTGCCCAGGCTGGCCTAGAACTTGGAATTCTCCTGTCTCAGCCTCTCAAGTAGCTGGAATTACAGTCATGCACCACTATATCTGACTTTGAGAATGACTTCTTGGTACCTTCATCATCCAGCTGTACCTGCCCGTGCCTAACCCAAAGGCTGGGTCTGAGAATATTTTTCTGCCCAAGGGTAACAGGCCCTGGTGAGTCCCACAGGTGCTCCAACAGGAGGAAAGGTTTATTTTAAATCCTAAAGGAAGAAAGATTTATTTTGGCTTACAGTTTATGGAAGTTTTAGTCTGTAGTTGGCTGGCTCAAAGGCAGGGTATCTTAGGGCCAGAACAAGAAACCTAATTGTAAATAGTGATATACTCATCATACCAAAGGCCCCTGTTTTAATGCATGAATCCATTATTGTTTGGTTTGGGTAGTTTCCAGTTTTTCATAAAAATAATATTATGAGAAACATTCTTGAACATACATTTGCTGTGTCTCTCTGATTAAATTCATATACATATAGCAAAACCTTTAATATTGTACCTAACAAGTCTCATGGAAAAAGTATTGAATTTTACCAAATGCTTTTTCAGTGTCCATTGAAATAATTATGTGATTTGTATCCTTCATTCTGTTAAAAGTGTATGCATTAACTGATTTTATATGTTGAACCTCCTAGCTCTGAGTTTTTAAATGGTTTGTAGAACTCATTACTGGGGAAGCATACGGATCTGGGCTTTTCTTTGTTGGGCTGCACTTTTTCTCTTCTTCATTCTAATGACTAATTTAATCTCTTTCCTAGCCACTTGTGTGTTTACACTATTTCTTCATCATGTAGTGTTAGTGGGTTTTATGTTTCTAGGAATTATTCTAGTTTCATTCACTAGAGATTGTTGTGAGGTGTTCATAGTTTTATGATCCTCCCTATTTTCTGTGGCATCAGTTATACAGTTCCCTCTTTCATTTCTAATTTTATTTCAGTAATCTTGTTTTTTCCAGTCTAGCTAAACGTTTGTCAATTTTTGTAATCTTTTTACAAAACCAATTTGGCTTCATTTATA